AAAAAAAAAAAAAAAATGTGGATATGATATCAGAGCGTTATTAACCACTAAAATGCCCAACACTAAGATATTGGGCAGTTTTCTTTCTCTTGGTATGTCAAGTTTTCTCATCTGTAAGAAACAGGAGTAATAATAGGGTTGTAAGGACCAAACGGATTAATGCCAACAAAACCCTCATACCAGTGCCTGGTATATACAGTAAGCACTAAGTAAGTGTAAATAATCATTATGATTAGTATTGACCAAATCATAACATACACAATGTAAAAGCTATACACCCATTGCAGGTAGATAATATATAATAGATATATATTTACATAGAAAGATATCTCAATACATAAGTGTTTTGAAGGTTAAATTACAAATGCCCACAATTTTTAAAGTCTGAAAGAAAATACATGAGAATAATACGACGTGATCTCTGAGTGGTAAGATTCTGGATATTTTTGTTTATGCATAGTTTCCAATAATTTAATGATAAGAACGTGTTTCTTGAAAAAGCAGAAAAAACACAAAAAATGTAAAAAATGTGATATGTTAGTACCACCAGGTCTTATTATTTTGAGGAGCCAATACCAAAAGCTTGCTATGTTTCATAATGACAAGCATAAAATTATTACAGAATGTCACCACTGATAGGGAAAGCAGAGCATTCTCTTCTCAAAAACCTCTTGATTACAGGCCTAACAGAATCAGATGACATCTTTCTTGTCCACCTCAGGTTCCTAATAGGTGTCTTGGATGCATTATCAGAATTGCCCTGTATCAGAGCCAGCGGTTAATGAAAATGCATTTGGATATGCTTTGTGCTCCAGACAGAATTATTCTGTTGCCAGCAATAAGTGAGTGAACAAATTATTCAAGCCTTAATTATCAGTATACGTGCATTGACAGTAACATTAGTATTGATAGTCTTACCCATGTATTCTGACCTATAAGAATGACTATAGCGGGTGGCACCTGTAACTCAAAGGAGTAGGGCACCGGCCGCATATGCTGGAGGTGGCAGTTTCAAACCCAGCCCTGGCAAAAAAAAAAAAAAGAATGACTATAGCTATTGAGTGAAGGGGAGTTCTTGCTAATTATAAAATTTTAAATATTGTTTAACGTAAAAGCCAAATGATTTATATTTGGAGGTTAGCTTCCGTTATTCTCCCTTTAAAATGCTGAAACTCTATAGGAGAATGTTACTATAGTTTTCTAAAATACTTTGAAGTCTATCAATTTCACATTAAAATACTTCTATAATATTATATGTTTAATATGTTCTATCGTTAATTTTAAAATACTATATTCCTTTATTCTCAGTTTGGTTTTGAAAATTCTTCTACATTAAAAGCAAAGATACTGACATCCAAATAAACTTACTGCAGGAAAAGATCTATAATATAATTTTATGGTGCAGGGAAAGGAATATCCCAGGAAGATTATTAATTATGGTTTAATAATTTCAACCCAAGTAGGAATGATTAATATTTCTCAAATTTAACCCTTCCTCTCCATCCTCATTGTCACTGTTTTACTTCACACTCTCATCATCTCTTAGGCCAGTTATTACAGTTACCTCCTACTATGTTTTCTCCTTTCCTACTGCTAAGGACTGAATTTAATCCCCCAAAATTCATATGTTGAAGCCTTTACCCTCAATGTGTTGGTATTTGGAGATGGGGACTTTGGGAGATAATTAAATTTAGATGAGGTCTAAATCTAATGAGGCTGGGGCCCTAGTGATAAGATTAGTGCCTTTCTAAGATGGAGACCAGATTGCTTGCTCTTTCTCCCTCTATTTCCCACATGAAGTCCCACTGAGAAGGCAACTGTCTGGAAGCCAGTAAGAAAACCTTCACCAGAACCAAGCCATGCTAGTACCCTGATTTCAGAGTTCTTAAAACCACCAGAGCTATGAGAAAATTAATTTCTGTTGTTTAAGTCACTCCCTCTGGTATTTTGTTCTGGCATTCCTAGCTGACTAATACACCTTCTAGCTCCAAATCATTTTCCACAGTACTTCCAGATAATTTTCTTTCTTTCTTTCTTTTTTTTTTTTAAGTCTCATTTTGTCACCCTCATCAGAGTGCCACAGTGTCATAGCTCACAGCAACCTCAAACTCTTGGGCTCAAGAGATCCTCCTGCCTCAGCCTTCCAAGTACCTGGGATTACAGACACCTACCACAATGCCTCACTATTTTTTAGAGACAGGATCTTGCTCTTGCTCAGGTTACTCTCCAACTCTTGAGTTCAAACAGTCCACCTGGCTTGGTTTCCCAGAGTGCTAGGATTACAGGCATCAGAATGATTTTTTTTTATCATACAAATATGATTATATCATTCCCTTAAAATTCTTGTATTGTTCTTCAGTCATTTAGTAAACTTGTATTAATTCCTTATGTGTGCCAAGTACCATTATCATATAGATTAAAAATTGGAAATAGATGCTGGAAACATCATATGGATTAAAAAGTTTGTGTGATTTAACGTTTTTTGGAGTATAGCCTGTAAGGAAGACAGTTGTTAAATTAATTTCACTTTTATAGGTGTGCAAAGTAGTCTCCTGCCTTTAAGATTAAACCCTAATTTCTTTTAATATTATCTCTTTAATGAACTGGCCCCTCCCTACTTCATCTCTTCACAGTTTTTTCTTCATGCCCTCTACTTTAGTCTTTCTCAACTACTGGCAATTGTCCAAATGCCGCCATACTTTTTATACCTTCAAACAAGCAACTCTTTCTGCTATTTCTGCTCTTATTATATTTAGATCCTAGACCTCTGAGCCTCCAGTTAGATTTCACTTATTAAAAAGCCTTTCCTGAATCAATACCTGACCAGTAATAAATACTGGTTAATTGGCCACCTCTATCATAATACTTAGTGGTATAGTATTTGTTCCAGATACCTATTACTACTTACAAACCACCCCAAATTTAGCCGCTTAGGACAATAACAATCACTTTTTATATTTACAAACAGAAATTTGGTCAGAGCTATAAGGGACAGCTTGTCACACTGTCAGTGAGAGTGACTCAGAGGCTGGGATGACACTACTGTTAGAGCTGCAGTCATTTACTAATGTGCTCAGTTTTATGTCTGGCAGTTGAATCCTAGCTGTTGGCTGAGCTGTTGGGATTATTAGACAGAAGAACTCCATGAGACCTCCTATGTGTCTGCTTAGTTCCTCTCAGCATATTGCATGGGCATAAGGCTAAGTATTCTAAGAGTCAGAAAACCGAAACTGCCACTTTCTTAAGACCTGGGTTGGAAAATGGACATGTGTTA